CGACGACGACTACTACTACTACTACTACTACTAGCACGACGACGACTACTACGACGACTGGCACTAGGACTACTACCATTATCACTACTACGACTACGATGTGTGACGCCCGCGACTACGACGGCTACTGCGACGACTAGTACTAGTACTAGTACTAGTACTACTACCAGGACTTGTATTGTACTGTACTGGACTTTACTACTACCACTACTATTACTACTACTACTACTACTGCTGCTGCTGCTACTACTACTACTACTACTACTGCTACTACTGCTACAACTACTGCTGGTTTCGCTACCGCTACTGTTCCTTGCGCTATGCAGCTTCGAGTCCTATTCCTTTGCCATGCTAATGTTACTGCGTGTGCTCGAACGGAAAGGGCACCCAAGAACACGACGCGAAAGAGCATCTACAGCCGACGTGCCCTTAATCCTGAACCCGAAGATCTAACACTGAATCCCGCCGCAGCTATTTTCCAAGCTCCAGAGCTCGTGTAGTTTTTTCTCGTTCCTCCTTCAACAAACCCGAGCCGATGTCTCAGAACTAAGGGTTCACGTGATCCGGGCACCCTTCAGAGTTTCTTTAAGGGTTCTATCGAAGGGTTCTATGAAGGAGTTTAGGGTTTAATTTAGGAAGGTTTTTGCTGTTGGGTTGTGGGGTCTTGCTTGTCAGTACTTAAAGCATCATGGGACTTAGTAACAAGGGTTATAATTTGGGTAACTGTACTTATAACCCCAATTAAGGTACTTATAACCTTACTTACTAAGCCCCATGATCCTTTAAGTACCACCTTACATGTCCTTCCCAAAACCCTAAACCCTACATGCCCTTCATCTCCTGAGAGCTAGACGTGCTCGGAACCCCACACCCTCAAACGTTCACCCCCTCAACTTACCTTTGGTTAGTAGGGAATGGAAGAATGGTAGTAATACTGTTGATGGACAAAATCCTGCATTACCCATTATAAGGAACATACCATAGTTCCCATAGTTTAGAGTCCTTAGGGTCATGCAGGATTTTGTCCATCAGCCGTAGTAGTTATAATTGTGCCCGAATCCGCCATTCCCTAAACCCTAAACCTTACTACCCTAAACCCTACTACCCTACTACCCTAAACCTTAAGCCCTAAACTCTACTACCCTAAACCTTAAACCCTAAACTCTACTACCCTAAACCCTAAACCCCAATCCTCCATTCCCTACTAACCCAAGGTAAGTCAAGCCCTCGAGCAGCTGAAACATGGGAAACTTTCCAAAAATTCAGGGGTACCTTTTTTTGCAGGTACTAAGGGTTCCTTTAAAGGGTACCCTTAAAGGGATCTATAGGGATTCTATGATGGTATAGGGTTTAGGGTTCCTTTATAATAAGGATCCTGCTATTTAGGGTGCTATATTATTGTCCCCTATTTTCGGAAACTCCCATAAACCCTATTAGGGGTACCTTATTTTGGGGTGCTTATGATAGTAAGATCCTACTACTTAGGGTACTATACTAGGGTCCCCGAAGAGTACCTTAATTTGGGGTGCTTATGATAGTACTTGGAGGTTCATGGGTAGCTATAAGTAGGATGATAAGTCCCCTAATATGGGTTATAAGTATAGTTACCCTAATTATATCCTACCATTCAGGGTACTCTACTAGGGTCCCCTATTTTCGCAAACTCCCATGAAAACTCGGGGTACCTTATTTTGATGTCCTTTATAATAAGGATCCTACTATTTAGGGTACTATACTAGGGTCCCCTAGGTTCGGAAGCACCCAAATGCAGAACCTCAACAGAAAGAGCCCCATCGTGATGTTGTCCGAGGATGTCCGCGCCAAAGGCCACTCCGCCAGCCCAGGCCCCTACCGTGGTTCCCGTCGCCAAGGCCCGGCGTTTGAGGGACAAGTCACGGTATCAGGCGTCTCGGGCAGGCAATCAAGTGGAGTTGCGAAGGCTTTTGATTTTGAGGGTTTGGGATTTCGGGCATTAGGATGAATATTCCGGCCCGATACTCAAGTTACTATACCTCATCTTGGCCCGTAAACCCGAAACCCGAACCCGAAACCCCGAAACCCCAAACCCTAAACCCCTAAACGCCTAAACCCTAAACATTTAAACCCGAAGCCCTAAAGCCCTAATCCCCAAACCTAGCCTGGTATTTCAGCTCGTACCGGAGGCCGCCGACGTTGCCCAGACTGCCAAGGCCCGGGAGGAGGCTCCCAACCGCGAGGAGCAAAGAGGGCTTGGGGGGTTTAGGGTTTGGGGATTAGGGTTTGGGGTTCTAGGGGTTCCAGGTTTTAGGGTTTTAGGGTGTAGCGGTTTAGGGTTTGGGGTTTCGCAGAAAAGCTCCAAAACCCAACACCGCGAAACACCCTAAACCCTAAAACCCCAAACCCTCTGACACCTCCTCCCTAAACTCCCCCCGCTCCCCCTTAACCCTAAAAATCAACCCTAAACCGTGTGCTCCAGGAGAAAGCGAAGGCCGCTGGTGCGGCCCCCACGGCGGCCTCTGCGGCCTCTGCGCCTCAGGCCGAGCGTTTCCGAGAGTTTTGAGGGTGTTTAGTTTTTGGGGTTTTTGAGGGTTTAGGCTTGCAGGCTCCAGGGCGCCTGGGGTTTTGTGGTTTTAGGGTTTCGGATCCAGATTTCCCATGCTGCGCGTTGCTCCACGTAAAAAACTACGGCGCTCAGCTTCGACCTTGCAACAGGCTCAAAATTCCGAAGACGGGCTCATAGGGGTGGGACTGGTCACAGTATCGATCTCGTGAATCACGAAGCAAGCATCACCACCATCACCACCTGCATCATCTCGTAGTACTCGCAATCATCGTTATCATCAGCAGCATCCTCCTCCACCACCTCCTTCAGCAACTACTACTGCTGCTACTACTACAAAGACGACGACAACACAATCCTAAACCCTCAAACCGCAATCCTGAAATTCCAAACCCTGAATCCTCGCCCAGAGCCCTCAGTTCCAGGTAAAGCCATCACTGCAAGAAGCCATAGACCCTCAGTCAGCCTTAATCCATCAACCCTACATCCTAACCTAAACCCTAAATCCCAAATCTTGATTACCTAAACCTGAAATCCCTAAACCCCAAATCCTAAATATCCAAACCCCTAACGAGAAGAGTAACCCTTATAGACTTAAAGACCCCTTCTAGTAACCCTTGTAGCATCCTCTACAGACTCCCATACTTTTAAAACGACTAGTAACCCACCTTTATAGAACCCCCTTATAGTAACCCCTGTAGCAACACTTTTCCTAGCCTCTTCCTCGCCGCAAGGCGCCAAAGTCCAAGGCCGCAGCGCTCGTGGCCGGCGGATCTGTTCCCAAGGCGGCTGTTTTGAGACTGGGCGCTTTGTTGAACATGAGGCTTCGTCAGGGTTCTATGTAAGGTTCCATCGGGGTTATGGGGCCTGAGTTCTGCACAATTTTTCGTAGTTCTTTTATGAACAAGGGTTCTGTAAGGTTCCTTGAGGGTCTGAGCCAGTAGGATTGCGGATTTCGAATTTTTCAGCGGGCTGTTGTTCTTCTGAGCAGGATTTCCAACTGAGGGTCCGGCCCGTGTATGACAAACACTGTTTTGTGGGTATTCTAGCTGCAATATCAGTAACCATAGCAATAATGACGATGGTAACTTCCCAGAACCCTAAACCTACGTCAACTCTGATACGTTGTAAATCATGATTTCTCTCAAACCCTCATACCCCGCCCCGCAGAACCCTAAATCCTTCATCATACACCCCAAACCCTTAAACTCCAAACCTTGTACTCTATACCTTAACAACCCTAAGTGCTATTCTAATAATAATAACCTCAACCTCATAATGTTTTGCTGCTTTTATGAAAGCACCCACATCCTAATAACCCCACCCTAAATTTTGCTGGTATGAAAGCTCCTCACCTAAACCCTCCTCAACCCCGTATACCCTAAACCCCCTGTAAGCTGCAAAGATGCGAAGAGGCTTCCGGCAGCGGTCCGACCACCACCAGCCCGGCCTCTGCGGGCGTGGCTCGGCAAAACGCTTCAGAGAAGTTTAGGGTTTTAGGGGGTTAGGTTGAGGGGTTTAGAGGTTTAGGGTTAAGGGTTTGGGGTTTTGGAGTTTTCTGAATCTCCCGGTAGTATCCTTTGCCCTTTTGTTTTGGGGCTCCTTAAAGCTGAATTTTGGGGCAGGGGGTAATTACCCTTATCGTTACGGGCCCACAGGGGAAGCTAGGTTTAGGAACTTTCAGAGTTTAGTTTAACACAACTTTTCCAAAATCCTAGACTTCCTAAACCCTACACCCCTGACCCCAAACCCCTGAACCCTCAACCCTAAACCCTCGACTTCCTAAACCCTAAACCTTAACCCTAAACCCTTAAACCCTCAACCCTAAACCCTCGACTTCCTAAACCCTAAACCTTAACCCTAAACCCTTAAACCCTCAACCCTAAACCCGAGACTTCCTAAATCCTCACAACCTTCAGCCTTCTGACGCCGTCAGAATCTTCGGGCTTCGTTTCGGGGCTTCGAGGCCTGGGGCTTTGGTGGTCTCTCGCTTTCTCGGGGCTTGCTTAAAGGATCATGGGACTTAGTAACTAGGGTTATTATAATAGGGTTCTATAATAAAGGGCTCCTTAAAGGGATCCTTACAAAGGGATCTATAGGGGTTCTATTATAAGAGGGGGTTTATAGGGTTTAGTTAAAGGATCATGGGACTTAGTACCTAAGGTTATGCTTAGGGTAGCTAATACTTATAACTCCAATTAAGGTACCCATAACTCATAACCTTACTTACTAAGTCCCATGATCCTCCAAGTAGAGGTGAAGTAAGGGCATTGGGTTGTTGAAGCAGGGAAAACGAAACTTTCATCGCGGCTGTGATAAGCATCGCAAGTTTACTTGCTTGCCTTGTTGCCTTACAAGGTCCCCTGACCTTCCCAGCCCTAACCCTAAACCCTAAATGACTTCCGAGGTTTCTGCCGTGCCCAAGTCCAAGGCGGTGTCCCCGACCTCGGCTGCCGCCGTCATGGAGGTGCGGGTCGCTGGCAAGGGCACTTCGGAGCTTAGGTAGTGGTGTCTGCAGTTTAGGGCTTGAGGGTTTCGTCATCCGTGGCTGGCGTTAAGATCCGTTGTGCAAGAGCGCCCATGACTGTTAACTCATGCTCCACTAGCTTTTCTCTGTTGCCTCTGTAGCCCTGCAGCGCAACATGATGGCGGCAGAAGAAGTACGTAGATCCGAAAGCCTCTCTTCCAGGAAGCAGGGTTATCCCGCAACCGTAGCAGCATGCCCTAAACTGCGCCAACTCCGAGCTGGAAACTCTGAAGCCTCAAAGTCTTTCAGGCTCAGACTCCGAAAGCCTCATCCTTGAACCCGCCATGAAACATGAAAAGCTGGTGCCCATGGTTTCAGGAAGGCAAGAAGCCCGCAACCGCGGCTGAGCGCATGGTAGCAACTGGCTCTGTCCTGGCGCGAGGACACGGATGGGGTTCCGCAGTTTGAGTTGAGGGTTGTTGAAACTTAGTGTGTTTTTTGCCTTTGTTATGCTTGCTACAGGCTTGGCTCGTCCTGTTAGAACCCTTTCGCCTTCATCATTTGCTCCTTGTCTAGGAACCTTGAAAAGAAAGCCCGGGTCTTCATGAGGTCCCTTGACATGAATCCTAATATTATGGGGATATAGGGCCGGAGTTTCTTAATCAGGTTGCCACCGTGTTCCCTGCAGTCAAACGCTCAGGGAAGCCGTAAGGACGCAGGGGCACCAAAACCCCTGAATCTAGAATCCCGGACTTTTGCATCTATCCCCTAGTACTATTCACATTAATATTCTTCGTCTTTTGACTATGATTAGGATTGTGATTGGTGCTCGTATTGGTATGAGTATGAGTATGGTTATGAGTGTTGGTATGAGTACTAGTAACACCCTGCCCTTGCCCTCTTCCCAAACTTTGCATTCCTCATTTCCTAAACCCGAAGCCGTGAACCCTGAATATCCCAAAATCCTCCACCCTCCTATGCCCGACTTTACCCGATTATTTCCCTCCACTAAACCCTCCTATTGCCGTCCACACCCCACTACACCCCATCATACAGCCCCACTAAACCCAACAACAAGCCCTACTTAACCCTGCCAGGCCCCGTACTAAACCCCCTATGAAACCCGACTGAACCCTATTTGGAGGATCACGGGACTTAATAAGTAAGGTTATAAGTACCTTAATTGGGGATATAAGTATAGTCGACGTCCCATGAACCGTTAAGTACTATAGTAGAAGCCAGAAAGTTGGAATATCATTATCGTAACCCCTTTAGGGTAAATTATAGGGGATCCTACCATTAATCCATCTTCCAACTTTCTGGAGTTCCCTTTAAGCACTAAGCCCTACTAAAGCCCCCCCCCGCTGGTTTTTTCGGGAGCGCCAGGCATGGGAGCCAAGGCGGAGGCCCCCAAGGCCAGGGCCTTGGGTTCTTCCCTCTTTCTCGGAGGTTCATGGGCTTTAGGGGTTCCTTTAAGGGTTCCTGTTCTTAAAGGGCTCCTTAAAGGGATCTACAGGGTTCCTTAAAGGGATCTATAGGGTTTAGGGTTTAGGGTACTACTTGGAGGATCACTCTTTCTCGGAGGTTCATGGGGCTAGGATGCCCAGTAGTACTCTTATTCCCTTTTTGTAGTCCTAGGTTCCTTATAAAGTTACCCAATACCAAAAAGGGAGGCCTTTTTATTCTTAGGTTACTGGGTATCCTAGGGGGGCTATAGGGGTTCCTTCAAGGGTTCCTTTAAGGGTTCCTTTAAGGGTTCCTTTAAGGGTTCCTTGAAAGGTTCCTTGAAGGGTACTTAGGGTTTCTGTAAGGGATAGTATCAGGGCTCTATAATGGCTACTTTACGTAAGGGTTCTACTTGGAGCTTCGTGGGAAGGTGCTCGGCTTAAGGGTGCCTCACAGGGTGCATCTTAAGGTTTAGGGTTCAGGGTTTTAGGGTTTGGGTTGTTGGGGTTTAGGAATTTAGGGTTTTAAATTAGGGTTTTGAGGGTTTTAGGATTTAGGGTGTTAGGTTTTAGGGTTTAGGGTATAAAGGCTTTGTATAGAGTCACTGTCAGGGTTACGGGTTACTCAAAAGTCCTAACTCTAAACGAAGTCCCTACTCCTGTAGAACCGCTTTTAGAACCCGCTTTTGGAACCCTTCCTTCTTAGAGCCCTCTCTTGGAACCCTTCTAGAACGCTAGAAGACTAAAGCCCTAAAACCTTAAACCCTAAACCCTAAAACCCTAAAGCGCTAAAGCCTAAAACCCTAGGTACCCTAAAGCCCTAAACCCTTTCTGACTTTGGAGGCAAAGGCGAAGCCGGCCGCGGCTATGCCCACCACCTCGAAGTACGCCGGCTCCGCAGCGATGACCCAGGCCGCCCCAAGGACGGTGTCTTGGCCGATTTGGGGTTTCAGGGTTTAGGGGTTAGGGTTTCAGGCTTTAGGGTTTCAGGGTTTAGGGTTTCAGGGTTTAGGGTTTTAGGGTCTAGGGTTGGTATAAGGCTCCTCGACCGTGCGGGTTGGCGAAATGAGTGGCATGTGCAGTGTGCTCCCTTGCGGCTTTTCCACGCGGAGTGTTGCGACCGCCCAGGTGCTGAACATCGTCAGCGGCAAGCCGGTCGCTGCCGGCGAGGTCGCCAGCAGCGCGTATACCACGAGCTCCGTTGGCCCTGCCAGGGGCTATGCCAAGGCCTGGACGGATCTTAGCCTCGTAGGAGCCAGGGTTAAATTTCACCCCAGCTTTGCTTGAGGCTGCCGGCGCCGTTCTGCCCAGCAGCGCCCCAAAGGTTCGCAACACGCTTCATACGGATTCGCTTGGTTTCAGCCGGTAAGTGTCTCGACATGTTGATCCGCAGATCGGGCCACCTGCCGTGGCTGTGGGACGCGCCATGGCTGAGGCTCCGATTGGCAGTTGCAAAATTCCAGGCACAGAAGCGCGTGTCTTGGAGTTTTGTCCTTGCATCAGGGACGCCCTGCCGTGTCTATGGCTAATGGCAAGTTGGTCACCACCATCAGCAAGAAGTACCAGCACCTCGGCGAGTGGGCTGGTACTACCAATCGATAGGTATGTATGTAGACTGAGCCGCTCCCGACAACGATTTGTGGCGGTTCTTTGTCAGCAACAAGCTTGTCAGGATCGTGTTCGTGACCAGCGAAGTGGCACCCTTCTCGAAGACTGGAGGCGCGATTCTGGATGATGCTTCCATTGCCTTCGGGCCGCGCCGTTTCTGCGCAGCATGCATGCTTTCAGGCCTGGGTGAGGCGATGGACGGTCTGCCCATTGCTCTCGCGGCCCTGGGCCACCGCTGCATGGTCATCTCTCCTCGCTCCTCGGCGTAGAATCTTGCAAAGATCCGAGGGGCTCATAGCCAACGCGCATCCATCCTCTGAACACAAGCGATCCCGTCTCCTTCGGACTTGTTCAGGCTACGACCAGTACAAGGAGGCTTGGGACACGGGCTACTGGGGCTCCGTGCCC